ACACGGTTTTTGCATGGCCTTGCTAACTATCTAAGGATTTGCTTTTATTTGCTTCTGTAGGAAAGCTGATAAAGTAGGATGTGAAATGCTTGCCTTAACTGTCTCTTATCTTCTGAATATCCAGGTTCACTGCTAGGCCTCTTGTTCAGACCATTTTTGAGGGTGGAAAGGCAACATGTTTTGCATATGGTCAGACGGGCAGTGGCAAGACGCATGTAAGTTTGTTTTTTTTCCCCTCCAAAGAATCATTTTATAGCTTTAGATAATGTATGTTGAAGCTCTTTGTCATGGGATTATACAAGGAACTTGGGTCTTGAGGGTTTTGTCATTAAACTGTTAATAGTTTTAGTTGTTAATCCTCCTTTTCTGTAGCTTTAAGTACTTCTGAAGTTGTGAGGAAAATCATGTCTTCTTCCTCTTGGAGGAACAACTCCTTTGAACTCTAATGCAGTGGCCAGCACTCCAGAACCTTACAGGCATTTAACTGACACTCTGCATGGTCCAAATCTCCTCTCTAAACTGACAGGGAAACAGCAAATAACTTCACTGTATTGCTGTAATCATCTCATTCACATCAGACCATGTACATGATAACTTCCTAGTACGTCCTTGGGATTAAAATCAGGTTGCCTGCCTTGCTTCTGAGCTGCACTTTACTTCTGATGGCTTTTTCTTTTAATAGACTATGGGTGGAGACTTCTCTGGGAGAGCGCAGAACGCCTCAAAAGGCATATATGCTTTTGCATGTAAGTTGATTCTTAAGATATGAAAATCAAACTTGTGCATGCTTTTCCTAAATAGATATGCTTTGTTTTTACAGGATTATTTAAAATGTCTCTGGTAAAAGATGCATAGAGTACTTAAGTTCTGATTCATAAGTGGGGCTGTTTAAACAGCAGGAGGTACAGGAAGCAGGTTGCTCATAAGCCCCTCCTGGATGTAATGCCTAGAAAGCGTCACAAACTGGTTGTTCTGAGTTCTACTTTTCTTATAGAAAGGCGTATTGTGAAACTGTCAGTGCAGCAGGTCGGTTAAGTTCAACCAAAGGGCCAACTGTTCTGGTATATCATCTCCAGCAGCATGCAGGTGCTGTCTAGGTTCTCTGCAGGAAGCATTTCAAACAAATGCTTGGCTTTTGCAGGCCTGTCCAAAGCAATAACAGGTCTTGATGTTCCCCATGTCAGGGGGATGTGTGTGCAGCTTTTACTTACGCTGATCTTACTAGACCAGCACGAGTTGCTGTCTGCAGGTAATGTTAGCAGTAGAAGCATCCATATCCCTGTTTTCGGTTTCTGGGTGACAGTGCTGCTGAAACTGGTTTTCAGATGGTAGCACTTCACTAATTGTTTCGTTAGAATTTGCTTAGGATGGCTGTCATTAAGCTGCTAGTCACTGCTTTATGGCTAGTGATAATCAGCAGTAGTTCAACAGCAACTAGGAGCTAGTTTAACTAAGCTAGTTAACTAAGTTTTTAAGCTACTTAACTAAGTTCCTGTCTTCCTTCCCCAGCACAAGATGTCTTCTTTCTTCTAAGCCAGCCCAGGTACAGGAGTCAGGACCTGGAAGTCTATGTGACTTTCTTTGAAATATATAATGGAAAGGTAAGACTTCTTGTTTTCTTTTAATCCTGGCCTGATTCTGGCTGTATGTTTTACATGTGGCTGAATTAAATATAGTTTTGTTTTTTTTTTTCTATCTGTTAAGCCTCTGTTCAATGTGATGTTCTCTGTAAAGCCAGTACAGGCTACCTGCAAGGAGTCTTTGTTCAAATTTGCCTCAATCTTATTGCCTGAATATAGGTGTTTGATCTCTTGAATAAGAAGGCAAAGCTTCGAGTCCTGGAGGATGGCAAGCAGCAGGTTCAGGTTGTTGGTCTGCAAGAGAAACAAGTCAGCTGTGCTGAAGATGTCATCAGAATGATTGAGATGGGCAGCGCTTGCAGGTTTGATGCCTTAAAACAATAAGAAAGCAATCGTGTCTTGTACTCTGCGTCTGCAAAAAGTGATGCTTGTAGCTGGTGTTTGGATTTCAAACAAGTAGCCTGTTGTTCCCAGTAGCAGACAGGCACTGTCTCTGCACCTCTGCACGAAAACAAGGGGATTACATAGTGAAGGACTAGCAGGCATGGATTTAGTCTTTCTTCCATAGTGGCCACATGTTCACGCATCTCCAGAAGAAAGGAAATATTTGCATCAGAGCAGCCTTTCCCTTATGTCACATCTAGGAAGCAGGCAGACTCCAGTTTAGAAGTATCAGCTAGTATTCTGGAGCTTAAGTTGCTCCCTGAGAGTGTGTGAGATCGAGGAAGAGCAGCTGGCATCAAGCTGTAGTTGCAAAAGTGCTTAGGATTAACTGCAGGCCAGATGAGCTGTTCTGATAGCAGCAAAAAGGCTACGTGTCATTTGAAGATCTCTAGGAAGTCCTTGATAGGAGTTGCCGTAGGCTTGGATGCTCAGTTTGGCAGGCCTGGCTGCAGACTATGACTGGAGCATTGCTACCACTGCACTGGTACGTCTTTAATCAAGGGCTAAGTTCTGTATTAACAAGTCCTAGCTGTCTAATAAGATGTACCTGCTATGGAAATATTACTTGGCTGAGAACTTCTTGGCAGCTGTATTACATTGCATGTGCAGATATGTGCGTCCTGAAAGCTCCACTAATGCTCTGCTGTGCATCCTTTTTTGGGTGATGTTTCAGCCAGGAACTGTTTAATGCTTCAGCCTCCTGCCTCCCTCAACAATATTTCAGGGCAACCCCCTTCCCTGTTCACCTGGGAGCAGGGATGTGGGTGGGACTACAAACCTGCCAGCCCTCTTAGGGAACAAATGGTAGTGAAAGTCACAGTGAAGTTTATGGTATGGCAGACTCAATCCCTAGCAGTGACAGGCAGGAACAGTTGCACAGCAGAGGCTAAGCAGCAAGCCTGCTTGGCTGGAGAGAGGGATTTACAATGACTGCAGTGTGCTAGCACAGCTAATGTTTAGTGGCAGGAAAATGCTGGACTGAAGGTATTTCTTCCAGCTCTGAATGTGTATGAGGTGTTAGCAGTCAAAGTTATTCTTACGTAGGCTGTCTGAGTTGAGCTGGGCAGCACGGTAACAGAAGTGATTCCATAATTCATGCAAACCTGAGGTACTGTTGTGTGGGTTAAAGAACTTAATTAAATGGCTGCAGGCCTTCTTTAATGCTGTTGGGACCTTTGAATCTCCAGTGATGCAGCTCTGACACTTGTTTGCATCTTTGCTGTAGGACATCTGGGCAGACTTTTGCAAATGCCAGCTCTTCACGGTCACATGCCTGCTTCCAAATCATACTACGTCAGAGAGGGAAATTGGTTGGCAAATTTTCCTTGGTGGATTTGGCAGGAAATGAGAGAGGTGCAGACACATCTAGTGCTGATCGACAGACACGAATGGAAGGTGCAGAAATCAATAAAAGCTTGCTGGCCTTGAAGGTGAGCTGTAGCTCAGAGAGCAAATGGTGCTAATCAACACAGGATTTTGTTTGACTTTGAGGTAATCTACTCTGTTTCTTTCCAGCGCAAGGGAAAAGAATAGCCAAAAGGATCTCAGTTTTGTATTTTAATAACCCTGTAAATTAATGTATTATACTTGCTCTTAGTATGTTTCCAGGAAAGCAGTACAGTTGCATAGTCTTGTCAAGTCTAACACTGTTACAGCCATTTGAAGCTTCATTCAAGTTGTCTTGTTTTTGTGTTTCTGTTGTTTTCTATATATGATGGCATGTGGTATCTGTGGTGGTCAGGTATGTGGAGTGTACTTACAAGGCTAGGAAGCACGTAGAGAGCAATAGAGATGATTCTTTTCCAGCCTGCTGGTGGCTGTAGTTTGCAGAGGTGCTTAAAAAGAGATACAGATACTACGCTCACAAAACTTGTCTTTTCTTAGGAATGTATCAGAGCTTTAGGCCAGAACAAATCTCACACTCCTTTCCGTGAAAGCAAGTTGACCCAGGTGCTGAGGGACTCTTTCATAGGAACCAACTCAAGGACCTGCATGGTAAGTATGTTTGTGATACAGTTAAACCCACTCACTGTTTGCAAGTGTTGCAATTTGACCAGGTAGCTGCAAGCTCCTCTTCTAGGATGGAATTTTGGTGTCAAATCTGCAGTGAACTTTGCTCCAGTCTCAGTAGGAATAAGGCAGCACAAGTCATTTTCATACAGTGGATCTGCAGTAGTGCGTGGTGTGCTCTCAAAGCACACCTAATTCCTGGGAAGGTGCAGCACCACGGGTGCACAAGAAGTCAGTGGAAAACAGACTTTTCTCTGCTCCATAGGAGCCGTACAGAAAAACATACATGGCCATGTCTCAACTCTGACCCTTTTCCCTAATGTGTCCCAGCTGCCTACTGAGATCTGCAGGGCCAAGAGCTTGAGCAAAAGGCAGACATGGAACTCACTGTGGCTTTCTGTTTGCAGATAGCAATGATTTCTCCAGGCATGAGTTCATGCGAGTACACCTTAAACACACTGAGATACGCTGACAGGTATGACTTTCTGACTTAAGGATTCTACTATTACTGCAGAAAGACAGTTTTGACTGTCCTTCCTTCAGAGGAAGAGTGTCTCATGGTAGACTTCAAACTGCCCTGTTTTTTGTAGGAAGTATACCCTGAGTGGTGACCTCCACCCATAGTGTGCACTAAGAATATGGCTGCTGTACTACATTCCCTGACATAACCCTACAGATTATGCACAACACCACTAGGTGTTTACTGGGGACTTTAATATGAGCTAGTAGGGTATGACACCACTTGAATGAAATCTAAAGAACCCAGAGAACTCAGGTGCTTGGTAGCAGATGGTGGGAGTGTGGATTTGAATGCTCCGTGGTTGGTCTTGGGCACCTGTAAGACAGATTTGCAGGAACAGATCTCTAGAGTTCCCTGGGGATCTTGCTGAACCCTGGAATACCTGTGAAGAGCAGCCTTTACATCTCCAGTGAAATGATGAGTGAAAAAGGATAGGCAGACTCCGGTTGCAGAGAAAGCAGTTTGTATTTTGAATGTCAGCACAACAGCTAAAGAAACAGCTAAAGCCTTCCCTCTTTCACCAGGATCAGTGGTATTTGAATTTTCCCTTGCTGATGCTGTGTTGCATGGCTCTGTACAGTGGCTGCAGAGTCTGTGACTTTTGTCCTATGTTAACAAGATAAAACTTGTGTACTTCAGACCTTGTAGCTTTCATTTATGTCACAAAAGGCCTCTTGGTCCCCTCCTTAGCAGGAAAACACTCAAGAGAAAAGTCTGAACATTCAGGAACACAATGAATCTTCAGAGGTTTGGTTCAGGCTCAGGATTGAAGTTGCTTTTTTTCTTTTGGTGGACAGTCATTCCTGATCACCTGAAAGCACAAGACAAAACGAAGCATCTGACTTGCCCACTTGCACTGTGCTTTGCTTGCTCCCATTGGTTTCACTGCTGGTGCACAAGGCAAATTCAGGCCACTGGATAGGGAATAGGTAGGCTAAAACTCACTGAAAATACAAAGCTGATGCTGGTAAGTGGGATGAAGTGCCTAGCTGATGCTTGACACCTAGCTCCATGTCATCAGCCATGACTTTTGTCCTTATTACAAAATAAGGACAAAATAAGGACTCTCCTTTTTATGGAGAGGGTTTTTTTTGTTTGTTTGTTTTTTGAGGCAGGGAAGGAAACCACCTTACTCCTGTTGTTTCCATACTAAGTCCTCTTAGTTGATTGTGACAGACCAAGCTGACGTGTCTGTGTGAAAGGCTTTACTGGCACTTGGTACTGTGTATCCAGCACTTCTCTCCAGGAGAGGTCCTAGCTTGATATGGCTACACTGGATGTGCAAACAAACATCTTTCATCTTTCTTTCTCACAGCCCTTTGGAGTTTCTATGTGAGCTTGTTCCAGGTGTGACAGTGTTTGGAATTTCTTTTAATAAAGCCAAATGCTTTTTGCTGGGCACTGATGAATTACAGCAGCTGCCTTGTGATACCACAGCCCTGAAATTGCTGAAAGATAGTAAGTGGCAAATATTCTTGTTGCAGGGTGAAAGAGATCAGTCCTCATAATGGAGGTGGCGAAACACAGAATCAAATGGAGATTGAGGAAACAGAAATGAGGGAAGAAAGCTCAGGTCTTCGACGCAGCGTATGTGTGTGCAGTGGGCTGAAAAGATCTCAAAGCTGGAAACAACTTGCTGTTCTTACTTAAGCTGTTTTCTTGCAGCTGTCCAAGGATGAGGAGGAAGATCTCTGTCCCCACCTGTTTAATTTCCGTGAAGCTATGAGTCAAATTGGTGAACGGGAGGAGAAGGTTGTAGAACAGCTTCGAGAACTGAGACAGGTAAAGAGGGAAGCCCAGCTCAAGATGCTTTGACATGTTGACAGCAGCTTGCTTTGTCTGAACCCAGTGCTGCTGGGTAGGCCGTGGGCTGTAATTAAATGGTATTACATTTCCCTTACTGCTGTGTTTTGTTTTGTTTCTTTTTTTTTCCCCTGTGGTTTCTTGCCCAACAGGTAAAACTGGGGAATTCTGGTGCTTGTGACCAGCCAGTCCCTGTTTCTTCCACCTAGCAACTTCCATCTGCTGCTGATGAGCACAGACTGATAAAGTTGTCTGTAGAAGCTCAGCTCGGTTGCTTTGGTGTGCCAGATACATTGAAACTTGACTTCCTAGAAAATCAGTTTCTTACTGTGTTCATTCTTGTAAACACAGAAAATGACAACTGAACTTGACTACCTCCTGGGAATCACAGAACAACCAGACTATGACCTTGAGACATTTGTGAGCAGAGCTAAGTACTTCATAGAAGAGAGCTCAAGAAACTTTCTTAGTGCCAGAGGTATGTTAATGCTTCTCGAGGTAGTGTCTACTCAGGAGGTGTGTTCTTAATCTGCACTTCCACTAATCTTTTTAAAACTCTGAAGTAACACCAGCCTGTATCTTATACCTCTGGACACTCCTAGGTGATCACCAGGCTGGACTGGTCTTATTGTCTACATTTTTAGAGTAAAAAGAGCATCAGCTGAACTGCTGAGTGGAGCAGTTGGGCCAGGGAGTTCAGTTTTCAGATCAGTAACCCTGTCACTCCTCTCTTCCTTTACAGAAACACTGGATGCTCTGGAAGTAGCCATGCAACTAGAAGAGCAAGCCAGCAAGAAGATAAGAAAGCAGAGGCATCAGTAAATACAGCAAAACCTGGTTTGCAAGCAATCTTCTGTATGTCTTGGACGTTTGTCAGTGGTTTGTGTAACTACTATTAAATGCAGTAGGGTGCCTGAGAGAAGCAAACATTGCAGCCTATCTCTCTTCATGTCTTGTATTGGGTACTCTGTAGAGACTCTGCTGGAAAGCCCCCCTTCAAGGCCTGGGGGAGGAGGGCTGAGAGTCTGCTAGATATGTTTCATATCTGGTCCTTTATTAATGACAATGGACTTCTATTAGAGAAGTAGATGCACATACAACTTTCTAATGTACATGTAATTTTTGATTCCAGATGTGCTTGAAAACACTGCAGAACTTTTTCTAGGAAGAAAATGGACTATATGTAATGGTTTAAAAAAGATAATCAGTATTTTACGATGTTTTTTCAATTAAATAAATGTTCCTGTATTTAATTAACTTCAACCTTAAAACATTTCTTGCTGATGTTTGCTAAAGTCTTACCAGTCCCTGCAGACTGTCTAGTGCTGTAGAGGTACCCTAATTTCTTAGTAGATTTATTTTTGAAGTCTTTACACTTGTAATGTTTGCATAAAAATAATTTAAAATAAATGTTCTCTTTTAATTGAGATCCTGTGGCGTAGAACTTCCCAAGCAAGGGGGGAAAAAGGGCCTCTAAACAAGCCTCCTCAATATGTTTCAGGATCAAGTGGATCAGCTCTTACAGCAGCAGGCAGGTAACTCCCTGTCACTCCCTCCCACCTAAGTAGTTTAGTTGGGCTTCAGGAGTGGCCCAGAATGTTAATTCATGTACTAGTCAGCGTGCTGCATAAGAAGCCATGTTCAGCAGTCCATCAAAGCCTGTATTCAAGGGCAGAAGAGTAAAGCTGCTACTGGCTCAGCTGTAGCAAGTTGGGATCCATGACCCTTGTGTGTGGCCTGGTCCAGATAGCCCCACACATCTTATTCTCTGGAGGTGAGCAGGTAGAGGGGCCAGGATGGAGGATAGACAAATAGGAGACAGGTGATGCTGATGGGTGCCTCTTATTTGTTCACTGTAGGGGTTATCTCCAGAAGGACAAAATTACCCCAAGAACTCCAGTGTGTAGACATACAAATACCAGAGTACACAAAGGCCAATCTTATCATTGCTTGCTCTTGCCCTGGACCCCAGCCCTGGTCTCCTGGCTGCCTTCTACCACAGACTATTCCCTTTAATTTCAGAGGGAGATACTAGTCCAAAACAACTGGGGCTTTTAAGTGACTGAGGCCAGTTCTATGCCTACCTTCTGCAGATTGCATCTTTGTCATGTCTTTGGGGCTGTCCACTAGATTGGAGGCCAATTCTTCAGCCTGGACTGGATCTATTTTTGTGTACCAGGTCTCAGGACAGTCCTGGAAGAGGCAGCAATAGTGTTAGGTTATCTTGCAGTACCTGGTGCAGCATACTAAGACAGCAGCACAGTGAGCAAAATGGCTGTTGGGCCCTACTGAGCTTAAATTAAAGCTGCTGTTTCTGGTGTTACTACTCTTAGCTATGCCTAGTTTTGATCAGAGGTAGCTTGTGGTAAAACAGGAGGGACCTGGGTGCAATGAAAAAAGTGCTGTCTCTGCTCTTCTCCAGACCTACTTTGGCTTAGTGCTCTGTATCACCACTCCAGGAGCTAGAGGCAAGAGGGCCCTGATTTTGCAGGAACTTGAGTCACCTCTTGTCACATTCTGACAGAGATCTTGCTGTTGCAGAAGTTCTTCAGGTGTCTGAGATCCATCCTTGCTCTCTTCAGGGTTTGAACTAGAGAAATGATCTTTTTGAGCACAGCCTGAAGGTGAAAACTTCTCCAAGGGGGGCTTGGTTCATTTCTGTGCTCTTACTCAAGACAGGATTTTTTTTCTCTATGAGGAGTACAGTCCCTACCCCTCTGCAAAACAGATCAAGCTCTTCTAGTGCCACTGATAAACTCTGTTAGGGAGGCATGCTTACCTTAAAGAGCTGGAACAGCATGTGTCCTACTGCCTTCCTTACATGCTCCTCCACAGAGGGGTATGTGCGGACAAAGTACTGCAATGGAACAGAGAGTTAGTGTATGGGGATAAGGGATGTGCACGTGTGTATGGAGGTAGAACTCCGCGTACAGGGACTTGTTGGTCCTTGCTCTGAGCCCTACCTTATTCCACTCCACTGTCTTCTCAGGTGAACAGCATACTGACCCTCTGCATTACCAGACAGGTCACTCTGAGTAGGCTGATTCTCAGCTGTCCCTCGTTCTGTGCCTTTCCCACTGCTCACAGTACGGACCTTCCTCTTCTAGTCATCACAGATCTGTGCTGAGGCAGCCAAAGCTTTTTAAGCAGCACCAGCAGGACAAAGTAACCTGCTTATAATTCTGTACTAGTGTCTAGATCCAGGGAAACTACCTTGGTGTGCCTCAGGGCAAGCTGCAGAGTAGAACAGGTGTGTGAGGGTGAACACTGGCTTCCCAGTACCCTCTTTGTGGTAGCTGGCAGGAGAAAGGCAAACAGAACAAGTAGTACAGCTATTTCCAGAATGAAGTGCTACTCCTGCCTTTGTGAAGTCTGTCTGCTGTGCTCAGAAACAAACAAAAACCTCACTAAAACAGTGCATGGAGCATTTCTGTTCAAGTGTTCTGGAAAGAGACCGCACGTTATGATGTCATCTATCTGTATGCTGTGATTGCATACCATCACACTCACCTCCAGGGAGATGCTGGCATTTCTCTGGCTGAGTGGATAATCCAGGTTCCCCACTGCAACCATCAGGCCGTGCACCACTTTTAGCTGGATCAGCTCTTCAGCCACTTCTGCTGACTCCTTGGCTAATATGCTGCAATAAGACAGGCCATCAGCCTCTACCCTGTGCAGGGGAAGGGGCACATAATAAATTGAGCCTGGCCCTCTTGGTACAGATCTGGCGTGATCCCCATGGAAGCATCAATGGACAGAAGACAGAATCTCAAACATCTGACTGACTATGCATTGTCAATCACTTAGTGGTTTTTCTGCTTGTTTGTTTGTTTTTGGCTGAGAAACAGTTATTACGTTATTGGTAGGAGCTTCCTGGTGCATTATAAATTCTAGAAAGCTTCCTGCATGAATGTGAAGAACTCAGGGCTCAAAGCAGAACCACCACCAATGTCACTGCTTTTGAGACTATGTCCCTGTACCCACTAAACTCATCTGCTTTTGTAGAAATGTTCTCATAGCACTATCTTGTGGACACTGCAGGAAATTCATAATAAATGCATAGACTTTAGCACAAGCAGCCAAATGTAAGGATTCTGTGGTCAATCACAGGTACTACATTCTTCCATTGGGTGGCTGAGGTCTCTGTGCCAGAGACTCACTGCCTCCGATCAAAATTTTTTTCCTAAAATCTGACCGAAATCCCCCTCTTTTAGCTTAAAGCCATTCCTCCTTGTTCTATCACTATCACACTGCGTAAAAAGTTGGTACTCCTCCTACTTGTAAGCTCCCTTCGAGCACTGGAAGGCTGTGATTGTGTCCCTGGAGCCTCCAGGGTAAACAAGCCCAGTTCCCTCAACCTTTCTTCTTAAAAGAGGTGCTCCATCTTTGTGTCCTCCTCTAGACCCACTCCAACAGCTCTGCATCCCTCCTGTGCTGGGGGCCCCAGGCCTGGACACGGCGCTCCAGATGGGGCCTCACAAGGGCAGAGCAGAGGGGGATGGTCCCCTCCTTCTTCCTGCTGCCACCCCTGTCGATGCAGCCCGGGGTACAGCTGGCCTTCCAGCATGCAGGAGCACAGTGCTGGCTCATGTCCTGCTTCCTGTCCATCAGGACCCCCAAGCCCTTCTCTGCTGGGCTGCGCTCAAGGAGTCTGCACATGTATCTGGGATTGCCCTGACCCAAGTGCAACACCCAGCACTTGGCACTGCTGAACCTCGGCAGGTTCTCACGTGCCCACTGTTGAGTCTGTCCAGCTCCCTCTGGCTGACTTTCCTCCCCTTTATTGTGTCTACTGCACCACTCAGCCTGGTGTCATCAGCGAACCGCGGAGGGTGCATTTGATCCTGCTATACGCCTCCAACTCAAAGGAAGATGTTTCTCTGCCTCCCCCCCCGCACGCTCCTGTGGGTTTTACTCCAGCTTTCCTTACCCGACGGCTTTAGCAGCAGCTGCCTGCTGAACGTGGGCCGGCATCGGCTCCCTCGGGCGCAGCGTTGGGTCTGCAGGAGGAAGACGAGGAAAGTGAGAACGATGCTTTGACACATTTATAAGACGCGAGAAGGGAGGGCAGGCCGTACGACGCCACAGCACAGCCCGCACAGCGCGGGCCGCCGCGGCCTGCCGCAGCACGGCTTTTACCTTTGGCGCGCGCTTTGCTCTGGGGCGGGGTCAGCAGCGCCACCAGGCCGGGCAGCAGGGCGGGCGGGGCGCGGCGGGCCGCGAGGGCGAGCAGCAGCTGGGCGCCTGGTGAGACACGGGCGGTTGTGAGCATCAAGGCGGGGCGACGCTGGCGCCGAACAACGCCCCTAAATTCGCTCTGTCGTTAACCACAGCAGGGATAGCTCCACCGAAGCGGAGCCTCAAAAAATTCCACGACACTCGTGCTTGTTCCTCTCCACGGAAATCTTTAGTAAAAGGCGAAAGATTTATACGATCTGAAGAGAAACCAGAGTATAA